GGCAGGGCTGTGGCTGCTCAGCCCCACGGCCTGGGCGCCAGTTGCCTGCTCAGAGGTTGTCCTGCACAGAGAGAGTTCCGCAAGACCTTTCCTTCACACAGCACTAAGCAGTGCTAACATCTCTCTCTTTTCCCTTCATCAGGAGTCAGCAGTGAATCAACTACAGGCTCACAAGAAACAATAACCCCAGCAACTACAGGTAAGGAGCAAAAAGCTCCTTCTGGGGTTGTGCTGAGGAGGGGAAGCCTGCCCACCCCCTCAGCTCTTCCTCCGTGCTGGGATTGGATGAGCACATCCTTCCTGCTAGCACCCCACTTTTCCCATCATTCCTGCCCACCATCTGGAAGGACTGGCTGCCTCAGGCTTTCTCCCAAATGGTCACAAGGATAATCATCATAGAATCATAGAATGTTTCGGGTTGGAGGAGACCTTTAGATGCCATCTAGCTCAACCACCCTGCAGTGAGCAGGGCCACCTTTAACTCCATCAGGTTGCTCAGAGCCCCATCCAACCTTGTCTTGAATGTTTCCAGGGATGGGGTCTCCACTACCTCTCTGGGCAACACGTTCCAGTGTTTCACTACCCTCATTGTAAAGAATTCTTTCCTTATATCTAGTCTAAACCTACCCTGTTATAGTATAAAACCATTACCCCTTGCCTGTCACAGAAGGCCCTATTAAAAAGATTTTTTTCCCATCCTCCTATAGGCTCCAATTAAGCACTGAAAGGCCACAATCAGGTCTCCCCACAGCCTTCTCTTCTCCAGGCTGAACAACACCAACTCTCTCAGCCTGTCCTCAGAAGTGCTCCAGGCTGTGCCCCTGTGCAGTACCGGAGGGAGTGCAGGCTGTGTGCAGCCTGATGGCAGCCCTCGACCTGCTCTGGCAGCCGGTGCTGGCCGTGTGGTGCTGCCTGGGGCGGGTGGAGGGAGCTTTCCTGCAGGGAGGCACGCGTGTGCCGGTGGCTGAGCCGGCGGTGGCCAGCGAGTGCACCTGAGCTGGGGGCCAAACGCTGCCCATGTGGGGCACCGGCTCAAGCCCTGGGATCTGGGAGAGAGCAGGCCACGGCCACGTCAGACCACACAGGCATCGTGGCCAGGGGGAGCGCAAACGCAGGGCTGTGGCTGCTCAGCCCCACGGCCTGGGCGCCAGTTGCCTGCTCAGAGGTTGTCCTGCACAGAGAGAGTTCCGCAAGACCTTTCCTTCACACAGCACTAAGCAGTGCTAACATCTCTCTCTTTTCCCTTCATCAGGAGTCAGCAGTGAATCAACTACAGACTCACAAGAAACAATAACCCCAGCAACTACAGGTAAGGAGCAAAAAGCACTCAGGCAGCCCCTTCTGAGGAGAGAGTGCAGTAACTCATTCCCAGGGAGCTCTGCATCCCTCCCAGGCAGGGATGTGTTGCCCTGCCTCTGTTTCCCCTGAGTGCCTCTCCCAGGGAGACAAAGGTTGCCACATGAAGGCTGCGAGTCCTCGCCACTGTTCCCTCTTTTCCAAGCTGCCCTTTGCTGCAAGGGGAAAGTGTTGGGGAAGATTTGAAGAGGCCGCCCTTTTCCTGCTCGTTGGCCTTTGCATCCGACTCCTGTCTCGCATGGATCCCTGCTGATCCAGTACCCAGGGCAAGCTGCTGTTGTTCTTGTGGTTGCTTGGAGCATGAGCAGGGAGGGAGCTGTGGCACACCCCACCATGGTGCTGAGTGCCAAGGGCTGTGACCGACAACCATGGAGCGGTCCCTGCCAAGAATCCTCCATGCCCCTGCAAACCCCATGCCAGCAGAGCGCTGGGGAGCCCCATAGCAGTGGGTCGAGAGCTCCTTCTGGGGTCGTGCTGAGAAGAGGAAGCCTGCCCACCCCCTCAGCTCTTCCTCCGTGGTGGGATTGGATGAGCACATCCTTCCCACTGGCACCCCACTTTTTCCATCATGCCTGCCCACCATCTGGAAAGACTGGCTGCCTCGGGCTTTCTCCCAAATGGTCACGGGGAGAATGCCCCTGTGCGGTAGCGGAGGGAGTGCAGGCTGTGTGCAGCCTGATGGCAGCCCTCGACCTGCTCTGGCAGCCGGTGCTGGCCGTGTGGTGCTGCCTGGGGTGGGGGGAGGGGGCTTTCCTGCGGGGGGGCA